GGCGCAGTACATCAGGTTTGTTGCCTTCGAATTCAACTGAAAATTCTTCTTGTCTTGCTCAGTCCACTTTACTCTTGCTTCCTTTACTTCGAGTGGTCCGTCAAGCACAATGTTCCAGAGATCCGGATCAGTGGAACCAATGAAGAGTTCCATTCTGTTTCTCCAGTATCCGTAGTGTACCCCCTCGAATATGGGTGGACGCGTCTGCGAGAACTCATCAGTCATGAAGACCCCATTTCCATTCATTGAGCTCGAATTAATCTTCGCCTGAGGTTGTTAGACCTGCTTTCTGTTGGCGACCAAGCTCTGATACCACGTGTTGGTGTGAATCGAGCGCGAGATTCTCGTGTTACTCCTGCAAAACCTAAACAGATCTTTTGGGGATTTTTGCTTTAGGGTTTTTGGTTGTGGTTAGATCAGTCGAAGAGGATGAAATGAAGTAAAGGGAAAGATGTTTTGATCGAAACAGTTACAGGCAAATAGATTAACGTGTAAACAATGAGCCTAGCTTACTTCAGGCCCTATACCAATAGTAGAATATACCCAGACTTCTCTAGCTGGTCAAGGTGCGGTCCAAAACTCAGACTACCCAGCTGCTTCACGTTTTGTGCTGAAACGCTGCGTTCTGCATTGGGTGCTCAAGGTTTCTTCTTCCTGCTTGTATTTGTGGTATTCTCTGAACTCTGCAAGTATTGAACACGAAACAGAGCAGCAATATGAAGATAAAAAGGAATTGAAATACAAAAGAGACAACACCATAATTTTTTACGTGGTTTCCGGTATGCAATACGCAATACCGACTAGTCCACGGCCAAAGAAGCTCAGTGTGAACTCTTTGGCGATCACTAAGATGATTGATGTCAAGGTTACACAATACAGCACTCAATCTCAATGACTCCCTGTCTCCGATTAGAATCCCTCTCAGAGTTCTACTCCCTGCAGAACTATGATCTTGATAAATCAAACTCACAAGCTATCTCCCTGACAACTTCTCCTTTTCTTTCCAATAGATTATACTCTCTGTAACTACTATTGAATTTCTCTCGCATGAAAAGGTAGTTCACTCCCTCTGCTTTTCTACCCTTTATAGTATTTGTTTTAGGACCGTTGAGCAATCAGGGTGCTTGATTTCAGCTACAAATCTTCATATCCAGAGATCCTCTTTTTGATTCTTGCCGTTTTCTTCTTCTTACCATATTTTCTCACCGCCATTGACCAAGATTATTTCAACAAACCTTTCCATATCTTCTTTCTTTTCTTACTCTTGCCTCATCCCATCCCGAGCATCGACCCCCTTGGTTCCATTCCTCAAACTATCCCTGCCGCTTTTCGTCGCCGCCATCTGTCTTTGCCTTCCATTGTTGCTAACCCTTATCTCCTTAACGCTTCTCCCTCTTATTCCCACCATTCCCGATAAATGAGGAAAGAACCAAGTCATCAATTAAGTGGAAAATCGGGAACTATTCAAAGGCTTCAAGTTCTACAAATAGACCTATCGAGAGATGAAGGCACAAGGTGCCATGTATTGTGCAAATATCTAGGACATAGAAGAATTTGTGGAGAAATGTTCTAATCCTGTCCATATTAGCAGGTATATTGGTTATGAATTCTCCTAATGCTAATTCCATGAAACATTTTAGGCCAATTTATTGTGCTAATATACTCTATAAATGCATCTCAAAGATCTTAGCACTCAGACTAAAAGAAGTGATGCCCCTGACTATCAGTCCTAGCCAGACAGCTTTCTAAAGTGCAACATTACTACTGACAATATAATCATCTCACAAAATGGCCAAGTGGTATAGAAGAAACAATGTGTAAGTTAGATGCGCTTTAAAGATTGATATAATGAAGTATTCGATAGTATGGATTGAGATTCCTATGTGCAGTAATGATGGCGAGATTTCTTGTTCAGTTCATTAGTTGGATAAGAAATTTTCTTTTAAGTGATGGCTTATGAATGGTGGTTTGATAGGAAACCTCTAGGCAGGAGTGTCCATTGCCCCCTTACCAATTTTCCATGTTGATGGAGGTTCCTAGTTGTATGCTTAATAAAGCGGATGATCATAAGATTGAACTTACCCACATATGCTTTGCAGATGATTTACTCATCTTCACAAAAGTTTTAGTAGTAGGGTTTTAAGCACTAGTGAGATATAGGGCAGTTATATAGGATTTCAGGATTGAAACACAACGTAGGTAAATGTGAGGTCTTTTGTGTTGGGGTTGAGAGTGATGTAAAAAAAAAGTTAATAGCTAACTCGAGTTTTAAACAAGGTCATACGAAAGTTAGATATTTGGGGATTCCTCTTATGACAGAGAAGCTCATAGCTACAGACTGTTAAGTACTAGTGGAAAATATCACCAAAAGGATTCATGGTTGGAAACCTTAATTGTTGGCATATGGTGGTAAGCTTGAACTTACCATTGTAGCATTAGCTAGTTTCACGTGATATTGGATGACAATTGTGCAATTGCTAAGAAATTCATGATAAACTCAAAATTTTGTGCTTAAGGTTCCTCTGGAGTGACATTGTGACGAATAGAAAAGGCAAAAGTCTTCATGGGAGGTAGTTGCCCTTCCAAAAATGGATGGTGGACTATGATTTAAGGATCTCCATAGCCGGAATAAAGCATGCATGATTAGGCATCTCATGGCAGTAGTTGCAGACCAACCGAACCTATGAAAGACCTGGAGGAAAGAATATCGACTAATGAGCCTAAATATTTGGGAACTTCATATATTAAAGGCTCTTGGGTTTGGACCATAATTCTTAAACTGAGAGATCTAGTTGTTGGGAGACCGAGGAAAACTTGTAGAAGAATTGAATGCGAAGGTCATGCCTAGTTACAAGGTTAAAAGAGTTTGGGAGAGTATCAAGCCACGAAGGATCAAGAAATAGTGGTCTAAATTGGTTTGGACATGACAACAAATACCAAGGAATTCTCTAATTACATGGTTAATTCTAATTGACAGGGCTACCACTTTAGAAATGATTATAAGGTTGTCTCTTGAGAACAATGATAGTTTCCCCCGTGCCGAAAGACTTCTGAATCTCGAAAACATAGGTGATTTTTCCTCTAGGGTGGCTTTATGAGCTTAGTGAGAGTTGGCAGGAAAGCATCAAAGATGCAGTACACTGTGTGCAGAGGCGAATCCATGATATAGTAGAGTACTGGGGCCAGATTTGAACAGAAAATTAGATATCATAAACAAAAATATATAATAACTATAGTTTTCATTCCAATGCCAATTGTACACGATGGTCTTTTAATATAGCAAATTAATCAATAATTGAGTCTTTATCCATACCAATAACATACTCTCTCTCAAAGAAAATAGTTAAGCAATCAGTCAGATATTCATCCCCCATTTTGTTGCGCAAATCAGTCTTCACATGTTTCATAGCTGAAAAGGATCTCCTTGTAGTAGTTGAAATGGGCAACGTCAACACTAGACGAATCAACCAACATATCAATTTGTACTTTGTTTCCATCTTTGTTTCCACCAGCTTCTCTAATAATTTTTCAAGGGAAGAAACCTCATATTCATGAATAAGAACCACGTGGCCGGCATAATATCCTAGCTCATTCTTCAAACATTGCATCTCATTACCTTCAAAATCTCAAGGATAAAACTTTTCAGCAAGTTTGTAAATCTTTTCTTTATCAAAGGACCGGAAAGAAATTTTAGGATACAGTGCACCACTCAACTGAAGCAATCTAACTAATGACTAGTTGAATCTTGAATCCAATGTTCCAAACTGAAAATCTATGCACTGATTCATTAAAGTATTCAAAATGGTAACAATGCTCAAGAGTTGTTTGCTTCTCACCACGTCCAAGTGTAGCATTCAGATTAGGTACCTCTATGGCATGTTTCGAGCAAAAAGATTTGACCTATTGGAGTAGCTTGTCCATCCTTCATCTTGTGGCTTTTGAAGTTTAACTTTTGCTATGGAAACAAATCCAACTGCAACTACAATGTCAACAGATTATTGTTGAATGCTTGACAAAGAAAATCCGTTATATCCATAATCCTTTTCATCAAGTGTAGATTGAATACAAACTCAAAAGTCTTGATATTTTTTGAAGCACCTCTGGTTTGAGCTCGCTGTATTCCATCTTTAGAACGACTAAGATCCTCCAGCACTATACAAGTTGCATTGAACATGTTTATAATTCTCAATATGGAATGATAATGAGATCCCCAATGAGTTGGCCCTGAACGCTTTAAGAATGTCATTTGATTAGCTCCTTGTCCAGATTGAATTTCTCTAGCATCCAACAATCCATCAAGATCTCTTTTGTGAATTGCTTGCAAATCTCTGATCCATTTAGGAGATGCCTTCACAACGTTTTTGATACAATCCATTAGGAGGACCTTCTTCGGTCTGACACGTTTCAGATTCCTTACGTTGATAGAAAGAAAATAATGTTGTTTTGGCCTTTTTAGTTGGTGGTTAAGAAGATGTCATGGGAGAAGCCAAATCTGATATTTTACATTAATACACAAGACAAAATTAGTCATTCATATCATCAATGAACAATTATATGAACCAAAACACACTACACAAGAACAAACATAATCGATAAACTTCAATAACATATAACCAATATTTTAATAAAAAATTTCACTGAAATTTACATTAATGTAGAGTTTCTGTTGATGATTGGTGAATGTGCAAGTCTGCAGGAGAAAGATGGGTTGCTGCTGTGGAAGAAACGACAAGCTGGGCTGCTGCAGTGCTATTGGTCGAGCCGCGATGGAGTGGCGGTAAAGTTGGGCCGCTGGGTTTAGAGGAGCGAAGAATCAGAGGTCGTCTCAATTTCATCCATCTTTGACCTTGCGATGGGTCAATGGATTAGGCTTTTTTATTTTTGCTCTCCTCTATTGGCGGCATGATTGGAGGTAGTGAGGGAGATTGGGGTTTGGGAATTAAGAGGCCGAGATTGGCGGGTACAATTCAAGAGGTGGGGTTTGGGTTTGGGAATTGGGAGACAGAGATTGACGGGCACAATTCAAGAGGTGGGGTTTGGGAGGCAAAGGGTTGGGCCCTAAGGAGTGATGAAGATGGGCTTCAGATGTGGAGGTGGTGGATAGGTTAACCATGAGAGGAGGGCTGGACCCCGACCCAAGGTGTCCCCTAGTTTCGCCGCTAACTGTCTGCAGAATTGCATAGTGGGCATACCACTGTGGACCCTGATGTTGAGTGAGGTATGACATGAGCTGTACAGACGATTAAATAGTAATCAAGTATTGATAGCAGTGGATCCCGTAGAAAAGATGAGGATAATTTTGAAATGTAGAGGTGTCAAAAGTTTGCAGAAGCATATAGGTGCAATACACTTTGGTTTATTGTAGAACCTCCCACTATATATGTTGTAGTTTGTTCTTGTTCATTCATAGTCTGTATAGGTTTGAAGTTCAAATGCTAAAAGGATATGCCTAAGTTGAGATTGTATTTGGTGAAATAAAATGCTAATTATTCATAATACAAAAATCTAGTGATAATTTGTAAATTATTTTGATAATAGACTATGTTATTCTCATTTGTTAACAACATGGTTCTTAATTACATGGACCAAAATATGCAATACCATTGAGTGGAATTTTTTATTTTAAATATATTTAAATTCATATAAGATTTTTGTGTGAAAAAAACATTAAAATACAAGTTAGAAAAGGTATGAAATACACTATGTTAAAACATATATTTAAATTTTTATATATTTAAAACATATATTTTAAATATATTTAAAATATATTTAAATTCATATAAGATTTGAGGTTGTTATATAAATTTTTATATCTCTCGGTTATACAACTGATAATTTCCCCACATTACAATAAACCAAATGATTCAGGTCCAATTGTACACATTTTCCCCCTCATATCTTGATCGTTTGTCTTTGCATTTCATTGTACCTCGACATATTTCACGCCAGGTTGTGTTATTTTGATACATTTCAGGTCCTAGCACGTGTGGAAGGGTCGAGGACGAGTTCGAGACAATTGGAGGTCAAAAAGCGCAAAAACCGAAGAAAGTCCAAAGTTCGTAACAGTGAAGTGCAAGCGTCCAGAAAGCACCCGCAGTTCACGATCAAGCAAGGGAGTTCACGGTCTCCTAAGACAGTGAACTGGAACCACAAACCGTGAACTGCGAGGCATCAAGGGAGAAATCTGTTGTTACTAGCGCAAGGCGAGTTCACGGTCAACAAGACCGTGAACATTGAGTGCAAACCGTAAACCCATGAGAGTGAAGCGGTGTGTTTTGGAGACGACATTGAGTTCACGAACGCGTTTAGGTGTTCACGGCCGTGAACTGGCCAACGCGGCCGTGAACTGGTCACTTTCGGGCAAATATGAAGACAACAACGGGGAGACAGAAAAACATAGCTGGTTTTTGGAGAAAGAACACTTTCTTCCTCTACGGTTTCAACCCAAAACACCAAAGGGGAGTTCTGGAGAGTGAGAGAGTGATCTTGGAGGTTAATTGAAGGCATTTATCAAGGTTGAAAGCAAGGAATCAAGCCTAGAGGAAGAAGAAGATCTTGAGGTTTCTTTGTAATCTCTCCTCTCTCTCTAGAAACTCACCTTCTTCTCTTGGGTTTAAGACTCTAGGCCTTGATTTTGGTTTGTTGTTGATGTATGTGACAAATTTCTTGTTTAATTGATGATTCTACTTGATTGATGGATGTTTACATGAATGGCATGAGTTGGGTTTCCATTTCCATGTCTTAAGCTCTTTACCTAGGAGAGAGATAATCCCCTTAGAGCCCCTTTTGGTGTCTTCGGGTCACTCCTATCATATATTGTCCGGGTAGTCCCCGAGAGACTTTATTCGACTGACCTCCTAGCATTATACGAAACCCTAGGTTGAATAGAGCACTACCCATCCATCGATTCGTCGTTCCGGGTCATTCCCGAGGGAGTCCATCTCCAAACGATAGTGTATTTGAATCGATCGAGCAAGGAGGATACCCAACATTGGTCCAAAGAACAGACCTAGGACGATTCAACCCAAGAGAGCTCCAAACCTTGTAAACAGCTAGGTTAGTGGTTAGTCTAGGTTAGTTAGCTTATTTTTATTAATCACTATCCTAGGATTGGCTAGATAACGAACCCTAAACTTGAAGTAGGGTAAGCCTAGATCCCCAAGGTACGATAAATTCTTATTGCTTGCTTGCCCTATGCTACACCCAGTCGGCGGTTATACTTGGCCGTCGATTGGTATGTTGTAGTTAGAACAAGTCACCAACTTCGGGAGAGAAGTCTAAATTTATAGGACTTGTGGTGATGAATTGGATTAAATTTAAAATAAGAGTTACTTGGAGTATTTAATCGAATTAATGTGGAGCATCAATCAACAAAAGGAGATCCAATTTCAGGTTAACAGTAGAAGGGGAAAAAATTAGTTGAGTGTTTGGTTGAAATACTACAAGAAGTGTTTTTTAGTATAAGAGGTTATGTAAAGTGACTAAAGGATTTATAATATAATATGAATAAAAATTATAACCAATAAAAAATAGCCAGAATGGATCTTGTTAGATTTTTTTTACATTAAATAGTATGATTTTATAATTTATTTATTTTTGAATTAATATAAATGAATAAATTATATTTTATGAAATAAATTATATTTTATGAAATAAAATTAAAATATGGTAAGAATAATCTTCTATTCTCAAAACAGTTTTTTGCAACATTCTAATCGCAACTTCTGCTTTTATATTATACAAAAGCAGTTTTCAGCTTTTTACAAGTCGAGTTTTTACAGGTGTTTGGCCCTGTTTTACCTTTTGAAACCAAAAAACATTTTCAAAAACCGGGCCAAACATAAGATTTGTGTACAAGGAAAATTAGTTGATGTTATATCCTCCCTTTATTGCTCATTTATAAACAAACATAAGTGAAATCTTAAATTGAAACGATTCAATCTGGTTTATGATATGCGCGCAACTGTTATAAGTCTGCACGAAGCATATCTCTTATGTATTAAAAGAAGGTATTGCAAATTCTCACTAAATTAGCTGTTTAAAATTGATGGAACACTTGAGGGTCCAGATACGATAACAACACCATATTTGTTGTTATGGTGATAACAATATAAGGCAGCCAATGAGAAGCCACCCTTTTACATACTTTTTAGTTTTATGAGTTGACTGAATTTCTGCAGGCTAAAAATTGAAGGAAGGGCATAATGGCCACTACATTTTTTTCTACCCATGCCGCCCGCGTGTATTGAGCGTGCTTTCTTAGAGTAGGGCGCGTGACCTACACTTATCTGCCAAAGCCCATTTAATTAACTAATTATTTTATTGTTATTACTAATAATTATTGGCTGTCTAATGTTAGAGAAGCGCTAGCTTTTGGACCAAAAAAAAAGTAGGATTTTTGTTCTATTTGGAAGATTACTTTCCATAAAAAGGAAAGAATAAATAAATTTGGAAATTAATAAATAGGATCCTCTTATCTTATGAATGAATGTGATCCGATTTATATAAATTTATAAATTAATCTTGAGCCTCGTCGTTTAGTCGAAATACGAACTTTTTTTTAAAAGAACTTTCTCATATCTGACGGCAATGTTGCGACACACATGAAAATGTAGCGAATTATTATATAATGATCACTGCTCTCGGGAGTCCAGTCAACGATCACTAGTCGCCGGATTTTGTGGTCTGCATTATAGATTTATAATGTACTTTCTCGTGTTAATTGTGAGTTTTTATGGTTTGATTTCTCGTGTTTCTTATATTCTTTTTTTAGTTTGCTTTCTCATGCTTTTAGTTTTTTTTTTTGGTTTGCTTTATCGTGTTTGTGGTTTGCTTAATAATGTTTGTGGTTTGCATTAAGAGGTTTCTGGTGTTCTTTCGAAATATTTTTGGTTTGTTTTGTGGAGTTTCTGGTATGTTTTAATAGATTTGTAGTCTACATTAGAAGGTTTCTGGTTTGGTTTTTGTGGTTTGTTTTACGGTGTTCGTGGTTTGGATTATGAGATTTCTGGTGTGCTTTTGAAATTCTGTGGTTTGCTTCGTGGGGTTTCTAGTATGTTTCAGGAGACGTGTGGTTTGCATTAGGAGGTTTTTGGTATGTTTTTTGTAGGTTGCTTTATCGTGTTTGTGGTTTGCATTAGAAGGTTTTTGGTGTGCTTTAGAAATATTTGTGGTTTGCTTTGTGATATTTCTGATATGTTTTAGGAGATTTGTGGTTTGCATTAGGAAATTTGTTGTATGCTTTTTGTGGTTTATTTTATAGTGTTTGTGGTATTCATTAAGAGATTTCTTCTATGTTTTAAAAATATTTGTGTTATAGTATCCGCGGCCAAACTCATATCAACCACGACTAAACATTTCATTCAAAATACTTCATTGTACATCAATATAGTTTATTTACTATGGTTTGTTTTCTCTAACCCTCAGAACCAATACTAGAAATTACACTATAAAATGGCCAATCCAAAAATGCATGGGAATGGATCATTTCCCCTAGAACGTTTTTTATAAAAATAAAATGGGAGCAAATCTATACACATATTGGTACATACTGATACTGTCTCTTTCTTTCATTTCTTTTTTCCCCTTTGGAAATAATGTTGAGCGGCAGCTTTATAAAAAAAAAAGAAAAAAAAAAATGTTGAGCGGCAGCGGTTACGAATGGGAGGAAGGAAGAGGTGGTGCTACCACCGCCTCTCGCGACTCCACCGGCAGAACTTTTCCTTCACCCCTTGTCGCAATTAACAAATCAGGCCACCAATCACCATTGGCACCCTCTGCTTCCCCTGTTCCAAAGAGCTCTCCATCTCTCCCGTCGTACCTGCAATCCCATCGTCACACTTTACAGCCTCCTCCGACACCACTATCACCGCATCCCACGACTTCATCGGAACAATTTCCTCCATTACCTCCTTCATTGCATCGTACGTCCGAAGTTCCAAACGAGTTCCAGTTCTATCGACAAAATCGCAAGCCCCATTCCCTAATTGATTAGTCACTTGTCGGACCGATCTTGGGAACAAGGGAGGAAGCCGCTTCGACCTCACCGTCGGTCATGCGGAGAAAGACGTCCACCAACTGAGACAGATCGAACTTCGGCGGCATGGTTACGGCGGCTGCGTAGAGGCAAACAGTACTTTAGGGTTTGACGTTTGAGAGAACGGGGAAGGATTTTGGGAGCGCAGCATTTTTATGATTTATTTTAATTTTATTTTATTACTTCTTAGTATGTTTACGGTTTTGCCCTTAATGAAACTTGTTGTTATTATAACAACATAAAGAGTGTTGTTATACTATCCGCACCCCTTTCGTCGTTGCTTTCCGGTTCCAGCCGATTCAAGTTATAATCACCAAACTCGACGGACGGACCAGCCCATTATTAATCCAAAGTTTGAGCCCAAAATTTCTCTCCCCTCGCAGATTCCGCTTGGCTAATGGAATCCTAATCAGGAACCAAAATTTAAACCTAACGATTAGAAAGCGATTGCTGATTACTTAAGTTACACAAACCTAGCTCATCCAACCGGCATCGATCTGACGTGCGGTGCACGATGTCTTCCGACGGCGGAGGGAAACGAAACCGCCCCGACGAACCACCAGCCGGCGGGTGGTTGCCGGAGGAACTGACCCTACAAATCCTGACCAAGCTGCGGACCGGCGCCTCACTGACCCGATTCCGCTGCTTGAGCAAATCGTGCTGCCGCCTCCTCTCCGACCCCAAAATCGTCGCCAAGTACGTCGCCTTCTCCCACGAACCGCAGGCGAAGATTATGGTCGCTCGCTCCTCCGACGACTGGTTGGACCGGTGGCTGATCAAGTACTCCATCCACTCCTACAACACCTTCCGAATCGTCTCCTCCGGCACTCATCTCCCCAGCGCGGACAACTTGCACAGAATTGCCGCTTGCTCCGGCGGGATCTTTTGCCTCGCCCGCAGATACGGCCCGCACGGAATTATTCTGTGGAATCCGACGACTTCGGAGACAAAACTGGTGCCCTCTCCGCCGGACGATTCTGATCTTCCGGCGCGGGATCCCTATGGCTACGTACGTGTCCACGATCCGTCTAGCTGTATTGGGCTTGGTTTCGACCCGGCAAGAAACGACTATAAGGTACGTACGTACTTTTCGATACATTTTCTTT